ACCGGAGGTGCAAAAAAAAGACAAACCTGGTTCGCGGCGGTGATCGCAGTTTGCTCGTTTCGCTTCGGCCCCTTTGGCCCCTGCCACTCGCTTCCGCTGACTTCTCCTTCTCATTCATGGGCCGCACCTGGGCAAAACGCAAAACGGGGTCCCAGGAACCTCGCTGCATCTACGCAGGTTCGGCCCCCCTCGGTGCACTTTCGAAAGGCCGGAGTCATGGTTCATATCGCTTTGGACTTTGATAACCCCTCAAGCGTCGTCTAGTCAGTAGCTACCAATAGTCATGAATTGTGCCAATGGCTTTCAGCTCCAAATCACTGTGAGGCTGGTGGCAGAGGTTCCCGCAAAACTGGTGCCACGGGTCGGGGCGATCTTCAAAAGGAGATAACTCAAAACTTCCGATTTCCAAGGAAAAGTGGCCCATGTTCTGACAAGACAATTTGAGTTCACAGTTCTCACCTGCACTATCTGCACAAAGCCAGCCTCGTGAACAACCCAAGAATGCCGACAAAGTGCCCTACCCCAAATACATCCAACGTTTTTCTGGCAAGGATGTCCAACAGAATACCAAGAACACCTGGATATTTGAAGCAAGGAGTCTTGCTAGAAAGCTTTGCGTGTTTTACGCAATGGTGACAAATTCTGCGAAGAACACTGCCAGCTGTTGTTACAAGCAAACACATCGATCAAAATGGTGAGCTGCGCTCTGCATTTTGATCCGGCGGTGATAGGAGGCTTTCTTGGATGAGATAATCTTTCGGAGCGTCGAGGCCCCTTCTCACGATGAGAAGTCACACCAAATGCGCAGGAGGCTCCTTACAAGAATGGAGCCTTCGTGGCCAGTGAGTGTCCACCGGTTGCCCCTTGGAAAGCCCAAGAACCGAGGCGCTCGGACGAAGACCCGGATGTTCCCCTTCAGCTCCAGTACCAAGTTGTGAAGCTTCTTGCGCTCCTAGCAAGAACAGGTTTCAACAATGAGGGTCTCACTTCCTGAAATCATATTCCGCAAGAAAAAAGCAGCTCAAAAAACGGGGAAGTGATGGGCACGGTTTGGAATCCCAGAAGCCGTTTAAGAAAACTGAGCCACCACCAAAACAGTCTTCCTATTGTGTGACTGTTTGTGATTGCAATCCCGACCCAAGGCGCGGTGGCCTTCAGAGTTATTCAGAGCCTGGGTTCCAACAGGCAAGTCACGTCCAAATGGCCTAGTTGTGAAAGGAAGGCCTTTGCCTGGAAACTTATGGTCAAAAGGATTCTAAGAGCGAAGCCAGAAGCACAGCAACACGAAGCCATCACACAGGAACAACACGCAAGCAAGCAAGCAAGCAATCAAGCAAGCAAGCAAGCAAGCAATCAAGCAAGCAAGCAAGCAAGCCAGCCAGCCAGCCAGCCAGCCAGCAAGCAAGAAAGCAAGCAAGCCAGCAAGCCAGCAAGCAAGCAAGCAAGCAAGAAGCACGCAAGCACACACGCAGGCAGGCAGGCAGGCAGGCAGGCAGGCAGGCAGGCAGGCAGGCAGGCAGGCAAGCATGCAAGCAAGCAAGCAAGCAAGCAAGCAAGCAAGCAAGCAAGCAAGCAAGCAAGCAAGCAAGCACGCAAGCACAAATGCAGGCAGGCAGGCAGGCAGGCAGGCAAGCAAGCAAAGCAAAGCAAAGCAAAGCAAAGCAAAGCAAGGCAAAGCAAGGCAAGGCAAAGCAAAGCAAAGCAAAGCAAAGCAAAGCAAAGCAAAGCAAAAGCAAGGCAAGCAAGCAATCAAACGTGTCTAAAGCGAGCCATCACGCGCCTCAGCAACTTCCTGGTACCGGTCCAAAAGATTTGACATGCTGGCGCCGATGTTTTGCACGGCACCTGGCCCGCTTGTCCCGCTGCCCGTTGTGTGCGAGCACCACCCCTCTCTAAATCTATGAAGCAGTGACAGTAGAGGCTCGGCAAACTACAGTCATCTCAAAAGGCCTCCTTCGAAGGACAAAAGCTGTTGCTGCTTGTCGTGAGGTTTGATTGTCCCTTCTCGAATTACATGCTGCTGCAAAGGAGGTAAATGCGGTGAAGGTTGAATCCCTTTCCCACTCCTAGGATCCCAACCCCCTTTGTGGGCCAGACCTCTTAAAGGGGTCCCGATTTGGTTTGGGATTTTTTCCCGTTTTGTGTTGGGAATTTTCCCGGATTTTCTGTCTTGGAACTGGCAGGTGCGATCTCCCTTGGTTCTGCTTTGACTCGTGTTGCGCCATCGCTGTCAACATCCCGGCATCGTTTTAACTCGGCAGCATCCTTTTCAACATCCTCAGCATTGCAAGTGGGATTTGTTAGGCCGGGGTTTAGGGTGGGTGTGGGTTGGCTAGGGTTGGTTGATGGTGGGTTCCAGGCTTGTATAGGGCAAGTTTGGGAGTGGCTGCGCTTCGGTATTGGGATGATTTAGTGCTGGTTTATGGTGGGCTTCTTGGGGTTGGTTCAGGGGTTTAGGGCTGGTTTAGGGTGAGTTTAGAGTTGGTTTAGGCCGCGGTTGTGTTCAGGTGGGATTTTAGTCTGATCTTGGTTTGGTTTGTTTGGGGGGTAGGGGGCGGTTGGTCGTGTTTGCTTTGGGTTTGTTAAGAGTGGGTTTAGAGCGGGTTTATTTAGATTTACTGCTGGTGCCCGGGGGGTTCGGGATTGGTTTTGGGGTTGCTTTAGGGGGCTGTAGGGTTTGCTTAGTGGGGGTGGTTTGGGGGGTGGTTTTAGGCTTATCAGCAATGGCTTTGTGCTGGTTTAGTGCGGATCGTATCATACAAACTCACTCTAAACCAGCATCAATACAGAATATTACAAACTGAGTGCGGACTTAGGGTTGGTTTGGGTGGGGTTAGGGTGGGTTTCGAGATTGGCTTAGGGTGTTTGGGGTTTAGGGTTGGTTTAGGGTAGGTTTAGAGTTGGTTGAGGGATAGTCTCTTGCTGGTTTAGAGTGGGTTTGTTTAGGGTTTTCTTTAGGGAGTCTTGCTGGTTTAAGGTTACTTTAGGGTTTCTTTAAGGTTGGCTTTTAGGGTTGGTTTTAAGGTTGGTTCTAGTTTTAGTGGCGGTTTAGGGTGGTGTTCGTGGTGGTTTAGGGTTGGTTTAGGGTGGTTTTGGGCCAAAACGTGAGTTTAGGGTGGCGTTGGATTCATTGGGGTTCGTTGCCTACGAAGAAGCGTGGGGACTGGGGAGTGGGGGGGGGTGCAGCCCCCCCCTACAGAACCATGGGAAGCAAGAAGCCACCAACCAAAAAGCCAAAAGGCGTTCTGGGGCATTTCTGGTGATGCTGATGCGGAAAGCCAAAGCCACAGAGGCCACAACAAGTAAAGCCAAAAAGCCACGAGCCAAAACCAAAAAAGCCCAGACTCCAAGAAGACAAAGGCCAAAAGCCAAGCTAAGAAGCCAGAAGGGAAAATCCGGGAAAGAATCCTTAAAAAGACGGGGGAAGTTCCCAAAATAAATAGCCCTCCCCTCTTAAGTGGCCAGCCATGTTGCTTTAGGGAACATACCTTGGGCAGCTGGCCAACCATGTGGGCATGCGCAAAACTGGGTAACATCGATATAGCGCCCTTCGAAAGCAACCAAACCCAAAACCACTGCCTCTCGGAGGGCCCAACTCATAAACATAAATAGGCATGAACCTCAAGTCATGGCGCAAACCATTGCCGAGCACCTTCGAAACAATAAGTCGACATGAGACAAACCTATCGGCGTGGACATCATTCAGGTATTTGTGTCCACCAATTACCTCCCCTGCAGGAAGCGACCCCACAGGGGTCTGGAACGGAACAAACTTGATTCCCCCAACTGCACTGTTGCCTGGGTTAATTGTCACCCGGTGGCACACCTGTTCCAAGAAAGAGCAAAGCCAGCCAAGCCAAGCCAAGCAAAGGCACAAAGCCACCACAGCCGGCCAACCCCACCCCACCCCACCCAACCCAACCCAACCCAACCCAGCCCAGCCCAGCCCAGCCCAACCCAACCCAACCCAACCAAACCCAACAAAACCCAACCCAACCCAATCAAACCCAGCCACCCTAGGCCTGCCAAGGGCGGGAACTCATCCGTGAGGCCCCTCAGCTGCTGGCCTGCCTTCAGCTCCTTGTGCGAGGCCTGCGGCATCCGTTTCGCAGCTTTGGCTCCGCATCCATCCTCACCGGCTGAGTGGATGGCCCCAAAAAAGTCCAAACTTTTGTTTACCACTAAAATGGTCTTCTCAAAAAGTTTAAAGTTCATGAACTCAGGCAGTGAGCATCCCGCGCTCGGATTAGCTTCCCTCTTGGTGGTTTGGCGCCCGGTGGTTTGGTGGTCAGGCCTGACAAGATTCCGGGGGTCAAATCTTGGTGTTTGTGGTCTTCGTTTTTTTGGCCCGGCAACACCTAGCGCCCAAGCACAGCAGTTTAAGTGTGCCTGGGCCGAACCAAAAGGACCATCACGTAGCGTGGCGGCCCTGGGTTCACGGACAGACCTGGCCAGTTTTGGGCGCAGGGAAGGGAGCACTCCTCCGAAGTCTGAGCCCGTCCAAGATTGCTCTGAAACAAACAATTTCACATTGCAACAAATCTGAGCGCACATTGAAATTATTATGTCCAACAGGACAAACTAACAGTGTTTCCGACAAACATTATTTCCAACAGGACAATTGAAATCTCAGAGGGCAAAGCTGCGATTCGAAGGAGCACAGTGCACCAAATTGCGCAACGAAGGGACCAGCGTTGACCCAGACGATGAGGGATTTGTCTCCCCCATCGTTTCTGGGCAGTGGCCGTTGCATGGCACTTGAGAAACCACATGGCAGACATGTTTGTCAAATCCCTGTTGATAAGTCAAGCTGAATAACTTAGCAAGGGCTCATTGACAGACGCGTCACAAGCCAGCAATCCAAACAACCAGTTCAGGGGTACCTGAACTTACATTCAACTTGAGAAGCCTCGCGTCTTGCCACTGCAATCCAAACAATGAAACGCGGATCAATCAGCACTCCAGAAACCGGAGCCATCCGACCGGAACATCGAGATTTGGTCCATTCCCGTGAGGGCTCCGGACTCGTTCGCAACGTGCCCTCCGCGCGCCGTGCCGCGCCGCCGCGGCCGGTCTCAGACGTCTCGGAACAATTTTGCGAGGAAAACGATGGTGTGCTCCAGAGGCCCACCTCCGGCGAATGGGAATGGCCCATTCCCTCACTCATCCCTATCTTTCGTGCGTATATGTTTGCGAGTTGGGCTGCTTGAGCCGGTGGTTGTTATATAACCAGAGATGACCTTTTGGGAAAGTGGCCCTGGTGCATAGAATTAAAGCCAGCGGAACCCATCTATGTCTAACCAAACTAACCAAAAAACAAAAGGACAAGGGTCAACCCAGACCGTGTCAGCCGAATGGTAAACTTGGGCATTTGCCATGGCTTCAGGTTGGATCTAAGTCAGCACGTACATGGATGTTGTAGTCTCAGAACTACACTAACCAAAACCAAGGGGAACCTCCACAATACAATTGATACAGTGATTTGGAGCAGGGATCCTGAAAAAGACGCAGGTTTGAGACAGCTCTCGGATTGACCCTGTCCAAATGCATTCTTGCGACTGTAATTACTCAACCTTGGTCATTGCTGTTAGCTTGAGCAACGATGTTGAAGCTCATCCCGGCACCTGGCAGGCCTGCCGGCCTGCGTGCAGTGGCGAGCTGATGCTCTTAAGGGAGAGCGCGACCGTGCTTACCATTGGCAGGCATGCGTGCAGTGCTGAGCGAGTGCGCTTGAGCGGGTGTGCTTCGGATTCAAGACAAGGAGCGGCTGCGACAGTGGAAGCTGGCTACGCAACGGCCTCTAAGTGAAGACTATTGCAAGAGATTAAGATTTGGAGAAGTTGAAGTTTGGAAAAGAGGGTGAGCTTCTAAGCCACCGGAGAACCAGTAGGTGAAGGGCTGATCAGTGAAGACAAAGGCAAGGTGGGCCCTAAAACTAGAAAGTGGGAGGTCAAAAGCATGGAGAGACTAGCGAAGACAGAGCTCCAGCAAGAGAGCAGAGGCTGGAGGCCATAGCATAAGGCCGAAAGGGCCAAAGAGGCATCTGGAGGCAGAGTTTGCCATGTGACAAACGCCGCATCTGTAAAAAAGTGTTGGACCCCCAACCTGCTGGTGCGCAGGCCAAGAAGTTGCCTTCCACTGGTGTGGAATTTTCAGCACAGCCCAACATAGGTACCCGGCTACCCCCCTATTTTTTAGAAAGCCTGAAGCCTCCATGACCCGTTGGAAGATTCCTTGCGTTTCCACACAGAGACCTGGCATACAACGCCCAGGTCCTCGGTATTTTGCCACCGATGGGTCATTGAAAGCCTGACATCCACATGGCCACCGACGCGGAAAGGCAAACGAATTTCCGCGCCTCTATGGCTTTCGACCACTCGCCTGAGCACAGGAAGGAACCGAAAAACCCGACTCGCTATTGGGCGTGTGGGCATGTCACAAGTTTGGACTTTGTTGGTGATCGGATGAGAGAGCCCCACCAAGTGGTTGGGGAATTTGTGTTTTCTTTGACCATCCAAAGTGGCTTCATTCATTTTGATGCGTGTCCATAGTCTCAGCTCGTTGCTCAACTCCCCATCATGAGTTCCGAAAACAGCTGCAAAGCCCCCTTTTCCCTAAGAGGGACTCCTGATGTGGGGAAGCATCTGAAAACGGTTGATGAGATCATCCAGCAAAGTGATATTGCAGACCGGTGGTACCCGACGGGGGGGATTGATCCAACTTTGGCGGTACGGCTATCGAGTGACTGCACGCTACTCCAAACCATCATTGCAAAGGCGGTCTTTGATTGGATATCACACGGCACACGGTGCCAACTATTTGTCCCTGTTAGATTGTGTCACCCCAGAAGGATACACATATGAAACTGGCAAAAACCAAACTGATACGAACAGCCGGTCCTTAAGCATGTGCCCAAAGCGAAGTCAGTTGGACCCCAATGCCTTGCTCATTGAGCACAACCGATCAATGATCCGCGTCCCTGGATTTTGTCCGATCAACATCGCGAGCCCATCGATCGAGGACTCAAAAAGAGTCGGGGAATCAACAGGTCTTCTGGTGCGTGGCGCGCGGAATTCATCCGACATCAAGAGATTGTCCAGCTAGATCATGCGACGTTCAAAACGCTCCCGTTCCTTCCGAGAACTGAGGGCCATAACCCCACAACTGCAGTCCGACCTAAATGTATCAACATAGTTGAGCTACTGACTGTTTCCACGTCAACTCTTCGAGGCGTGATGTCGACCTATGATTAAACCCCCCCCCCCCCCCCCCGATTAAAGTTATGTTGTGCGCCGGCCCTGATTAATAAACCCCCCAAATGAAGTTATGTGATTTTTGTTTTGATTTTTTGTTTTTTTGCTCCACACACACACACTCACAAAAACACACCAAACAACGCGCGCACACACACACACACACAGACACAGACACAGACACAGACACAGACACAGACACAGACACAGACACAGACACAGACACAGACACAGACACAGACACAGACACACACACACACACACACACACACACACACACACACACACACACACACACACACACACACCACACCCACCCACCCACCCACCCACCCACCACGCACGCACGCCTTGCACGCACGCGCACGCACGCACGCACGCGCACGCACGCACGCACGCACGCACGCACGCGCACGCACGCACACGCACACGCGCACGCGCACCACACGCAACGCGCACGCGCAGCACACCACACACACGCACACGCACACCACAACACACACGCACACACACGCACACGCACACCCACACACACACACACACAGACACACAGACACAGACACAGAATACACATACACACACACACACCCCCACCCACCCACCCACCCACCCACCCACCCACCACCCACCCCACCCACCCACCACCACCCACCCACCCACCCACCCACCCACCCACCCACCCACCCCACCCACCCACACCCACCCACCCACCCACCCACCCACCCCACCCACCCACCCCACCCACCACCCACCCACCCCACCCCACCCACCCACCCACCCACCCACCCCACCCACCCCACCCCACCCCACCCACCCACCCACCCACCCACCCACCCACCCGCTAGCATCATCTCAACCTCTTCCACTAGCTGGCCTGATTGGTAAATATCGTCCTCGCCTACCTTAAAATTTCAGATCTACACAAAATACCAGCTCCCAAACTGCAAATTCTTGACATACTCTTGTTTAAAAAGTGGCCCCAAATCAACCCTACAAGCGGGGTAGTACTTGGGGGGGGTTGAAAAAAAACATTATTTAGGGGGCCCCCCTAAATAAAGATTCCTGGGCCCCCCCAAAAAAGCAAATGCCACCAGCAGTAATAAAAAACATTGGAAACCCAACAAGTCAAATCTCAAAAGGAGGCTATAGCAACAGCAACACTAAACCAATTGGAAACTCAAATACCTCAAGTCAAAATTTCAAAAGGAGGCTCCAGCAATACTAAACCAGTTGAAACTCAAATCCCTCAAGTCAAATCTCAAAAGGAGGTTCCAGCAATACTAAACCAATTGGAAACTCAAATCCTTCAAGTCAAATCTCAAAAGGAGGCTCCAGCAATACTAAACCAATTGAAACACAACAAATCTGTGAGCAATACTTCGCAATTCGTAATCAAGTTGGGAGAACTCTTTGGGGAGGGACTTTGTTTGAGGGGGGGGTAGTTTATTAATCCGAGGTAGACATTACGGCTTTTGGAATCTGATCATGTGAGTGTCATGAACTGCTTTCCCTGAGGGAATTTGATGAGTCTCCATGTCCCTCAAGAAACACAGAACTTTGACTAAACCTCATGTGCCCGCGGGAGGTGCAACCAAACCCTGACGAAGCCACGAAGCCACGAAGCCGTCACCAACCCTGAGCCATGTGGCGGCTTGGGTCACCTTCTCATCAACCACGGAGCGCTTTGGTTGGGTCGGCCTCAGAGCAAACTGGACCCAGCACGGGATTGGCGCTCGGGCGCTTGGAATTCCAAAGCATGAGTGTGTGTGTGTGTGTGTTCATTCAGCACCCTTCAAACCAAATCCTCGCGGCCTTCTTATTGAATCAGGCCAGGCCCTCAGTCGCATGGTTGTGGTGAAGACTTGCCTAAAGCAAAGAAGGGTAAGTGAAAAGACCCTCGTGGGCAATGATTACACCTGAGACCAATACATAGGATCTGGGTGAGGCATCCCTGTGCGGTGGTTTGGTTCCTTTTATGGATTGACTGAAGCCTAGTATGGACCTCCGAGTGCTGATTCTCCTACCCTCCCACCAATTAACATGGAACCTGACAAGGGACTCCTGGAAGACAATTTACCTTTTCAAGGGACCGCCTATGACAATTGAGTTTCCCGGGAAGAAATAACTCTCAGGAATGGGTCACTGGGATGTGGATAAATCAAGAATCAGCGTGGATATACATGATGTGTTTAGGCATTTGTATAATGTCTCCCGTTTGTACTAATTGTGTATGCGTGTATATATATACATATATATATATATATATATATTATATATATATATCGATATAAAAAACAAATCACACGGCGCCCCTTGTACCCCAGTTGGGCTTGGCATTGCTCAAAGGGGGAAGCCGTTTTTTGGGTGAAGGCACACCATAGGCTATGGCCGGTATGTCTCAAAGGGCAAAGCCAACGATTCCAGGGGGACCCTAAAACAAGATAATATACACGCACAGCGAGGATCCTTGACAGGCGAACCTTGCACAACTTGTTGAAAGTCCTGTATTGGAAGTGATGTCGGCAACACCAATCATGAACCATGTCACCCGAGAATCTGCAAGAGAACCAAAACAACGGCAACAAAATCAAAACAAGCAACAACAAACCACACAAATCACACTACCAATAACGAACAAACCAAGAACAAAAACCAAAAGCAAGGACAAGACCAAGGCCAAGAACAAGAACAACAAGCAGAACAAGAACAACCACGAAGAGCAAGAAAAGCAACACGACGACGACGACGACGACGACGACAACAATCACAACAACCACAACAACCACAACAACCACAACAACCACAACAACCACAACAACCACAACAACCACAACAACCACAACAACCACAACAACCACAACAACCACAACAACCACAACAACCACAACAACCACAACAACCACAACAACCAACAACCGGCAACCACAACAACCAACAACCAACAACCAACAACCAACAACCAAAGACCAACAACAAACAACACAAACCACAAACCACAAACCACAAACCACAACAACAACAACAACAACAACAACAACAACAACAACAACAACAACAACAACAACGACAACGACAACGACAACGACAACGACAATAACGACAATATCGACAACAACGACAACAACGACGACAACGACGACAACGACGACAACGACGACAACGACGACAACGACGACAACGACGACAACGACGACAACGACGACAACGACGACGACGACGACCACGACGACCAAGACGACCACAACAACAACAACAACAACAACAACAACAACAACAACAACAACAACAACAACAACAACAACAACAACAACAACAACAACAACAGCAAGCACAATAACAACAACAGTAGCAGCAGCAGCAGCAGCAGCAACAACAACCACAACCACAACATCCACGCCATCCGCACCATCCACACCATCCACACCATCCAACATCCACAACATCCACATCATCCACAACATCCACAACATCCACATCATCCACAACATCCACAACAACCAAAACAGCCACACCAACCACAAGAACCACAGCATCCACAACAACCACAACAACAACATCCACAACATCAACAACACCTACAGCAACCACAACGACCACAACAACCACAACGACGGTGGCGGCGGCGGCGGCAATGGCAACCGCAACAACAGGAACAACAGCAACAACAATGACAATGAGGACGACGATGACAACAACCACCAAAGCAACAGCGGCGGCGGCGACGGCATCTGCGGCAACAGCAACAACAATGACAACAGTATATATACTAGTATATATATATAACTTGTAGATACTCATTGACGTGTGTCCACGCAAGTGCAGTTTCTATGCAATTGATTGGTTTCCTGTTGGTACCATTCTTGGCTACCCAAAACTTGTCTGTTGTGTGTGTGTGTGTGCCCCGTAGTATACGCTTGCCGGCAATAGACGATGGCAATGCTTTCGTAGCAAGAGAGCACTTCTTGGAGCACACGGACGTGACAAGACCCCGGCGGCTGAATCTTCGGCTTGTTCTGCGCATTCGCATTGCCATTGCCCTGGGCTCGATGCCAAGTCCGAAGGGCACTTGGTACGGTGGCTCGGAAGCTTCAAGGTTTGTTGGGGAACGCGGTAGACATCTCATGGCGCATGGTCAGGTGGGACATCAAACTGAGTGTATCTTTTTTAGGGAACCAGCAAATAGGTGGGGGTCCCTTTTGGTTGCCCTTTCAAACCAGACAACAAAACACCCACCCCGACACAGGGCAGAAGCAAGAAGGATGAACCGTGACCTCATCGAACTAAAGGTTGCTTCTGGACTGCCTGAGGGAACTGATCTTCACCCGCCGAAATTAGCCACAAAATAGTCATCAAGCTGTGACCATTGACACTTCCTTCAAACTCGTGCATTTCCAATTGCTACACAAGAGGGTTGGCGATCCATCACGGTCCTGTTGGCGCCTGTCTTCAGGAGACTCCACGAACGTTGCGAAGCATGCCGCGCACTGTGAATGTTGGAAAAGAGAAGATGTGAACAGACTCAAGGTGATTTGAACATGTATGGTACAATTGCAGGGTTCCATCACGTTTCAAGGATTGCGACGCCCTCAATTAACCCAGTCGTTGGAGAACATTTCCCCCTAACTTCATGTATGCTTTGTTGGGATCATCTTGACAAGCCAGGTGTTCCGCACTTTGATACATGTGTATATATGTATTCCTTGGTGGGAAGGGATCGATGTGATACCCCAAACAAAAGGGTACTTGAACTGTGAGTTGAGGACTTGACTTTTCCGTGTTGTCTCCTACCGTGTTCTTGCAGAACTCCTGGTAGCTCCTTTGCTCCCTCTTTCAAGGTCCTCAGCTCCCTCTTTAAAGGCACATTTGGATACTCCAACGACTTGCTAGTCCCATATATTTAGACAAGGAACTTATTATTCGCCTTGAAAAGCAGAGGCCTCTCCCCAGAACAGCATAGGACCGCAAAAAGGGAATGTGGCGCTGTCTCAAAATCGGCCAACCCAAAAAAGCACATCGAGCCGAAACTTCGAGCTCGCTTCCGGGCTTTCTGCTTTTCATGCGATCCCCCACCCCACCCCCCCTCCCCCCCTCTCCCCCCACCCCAAAAGAAAAAAGAACCAAAAAAAGGACACCCCGCGCCCATTGGATCGGATCCGGGTTGAGCCCAAAGCCGCTAAACCGCTGCCGAGCCGCAAAGGCGAAGGCCTTGACCACGGAGTCCAGGCGCCACCAGGCGGCGCCGCCGGC